ATCCTCTTTTCCCACACCTCAGGACAGGTATTTAGTAGTGAAGTGTTCATAAGATGCACAAACTGCAGAGATTTCATTTGGAGTGCCTGATGGGAGGACTATTAGTTATGTCACAAAAATAAGCCAGCACCCCCCACAAAACTTCTTGCATTACTGACTGTCTCTAGGCTGATTTGTACCCCTGACTAAGCAGTTGCAGATCAATTGTCCTTGACACATGACTATGAAACAATGGAAAAACCAAGTGTCTAATATCATGTGAAGTGAGAAAAAGGAAAAGAAAATGCACAATGCATACTTTAATTCCCAGCTAAGGACATGTTTTAGAAAATAGCTAACTCTAAAGCAGTGAAAAAAAATAAAAAAAAGGAAATCCAGATTCCAATAGCAAAAATACATACCATCTTTTCTACCACCAAATAGAGAGTTCAAAATTAGTATAAAACATCTAACTGAATGGAAGACAACACAGAAAAGCTGATAAAAATATATAAGAAAACAGAAAAATCAAATGATATCCTGAAAAATAAAATGAATGAATAAGAAATAGATATTAAAGCTTTAACAAAAAAAAAAAAAACAATGGGGATGCAGAATGTGAAAAAGATCAACAGATATGATAAAATAATTCTGAAAAACTATGTAAGTAGAAAAGAACAATTGGAAGTGTCAAACTGTAATTATAAATCAACAAAGAATCCAGGTGGAATAAGAAAGATTTATGAAGATAAAAACATGAAGAAATATTTTGATAATTATCTGAATCATTAGGAAGGGTGAAAAAATAATATTAGAATTTCCCGCAATAGAAGAAATAGAATAGAAACTGGAAAAATTATTCAAAGAAATAATAGAGGATACATCCCAAAATTCTGGGAAGATACTGATTAAAAACAATGAATGTAAAGGAACATTCAGGTGGATAACTGAATGTAATCGAACCTACACCAAGATACATAAGTCTGAAACTCCCAGGAGATAAAGATTAAAAAAAAAAAGAAGATTATTGATGATGGCTTGGGATAAAAGCAGATATTCTGTAAAATTACCTTCACCAAGCTTACATCTGACTTCTCTGAGTAAATAGACAATCAAGTAGACAATAAAATTATGTATCAAAATACTTAAATATAAAATTTCCCAGCCAAAATATACTTTATTCTTCAATCTATGTTTCACCTATGAGGGAGAAATAAAGCCTTTCCCAGAAAAACATAAGCTAAAGAAATTTACAAACAGAATACCTCTCATATCATAAATGTGGAAGTACACTCTTTTATCTGAATTAAAGAAAATAATATCCACAAGAAACTGAGTAAATGAATAGAAGCAGAAATCTAAAGACTGTATCAGTTCCCACATATCAATAATCACCCCAAATGTAAATGGATTGAACTCATGAATCAAAAGACACAGAGTAGTTGTTTGGATCAGGAAATCAAACAAAGATACAAAAAAAAAAAAAAAAAGAACAACATCAATTTTCTGCTATATTCTGTAGACCTATCTGTGTTCCAAAGATAAGCATAGTCTCAAAATAAATGTTGGGAAAACATTCCCACAAAGAAAATGATACCTCAGACATTACTGGTAGTGCAGGCAGTTGAGTACAGTCTTGTGAAGCTGTCCACCACCTCTGCAGCATGGGTTCAATCAAGGCCGGCTGGGGAGATACTCACATGGCACGACAGACTTTTCCTGTCTAGCACACTGCTCCCCTCAGCAGTGTATTTCAGTCAGACTGCCTGTTCTGTTCCCCATTCTGTTTCTGGTGAATCCTCTCACCCTTCCACACATCTGGCCTGTACCCCAGTTCTTGTATGTATAAATAAATAAATATTTTTTAAAGATTTATTTATTTATACAAGCACTGGGTACAGTCAGAAGCGCGGGAGGTTGAGAGAATTCACCAGAGCCACAGCGGGGAACAGAACAGGCGGACTGGTGAAATACACTGCTGAGGGGAGCAGTGGGCACAGCAGGAGATGACTGCACGCCATGTGGGACCTTCGCCGGCTGGCCGGGTATCAAACCAGCACTGCAGAGGCTGTGGGCAGCTTCGCAGCCCAGCGCGCAACTGCTGTGCCACGAGGGGAGGCCCTAAATAAATAAATCTTTAAAAAAATGAAAAAAAGAAAAGGGCAGGGACAGTTATACTTCTCTCAGATAAAATTGATTTTTGGTTTGAAAAGGTTAACAAGAGACAGGTATGGACATGTTATAAAGATTTATGGGAAAAGAAAAACAACATCAATATTACACAATGCTCATCTATATTGAAGGAATGTCAAATTATGTAACTACTAATATCAAATCTGAACAGATATTGGAAGCAATACACTAGTATAGGGGCCAGTAACAATCACTTTTACGAACAAAGACAAATCAAACACACTATAAATCATCAAGAAAACAATAGCCTTTAACAAAGAATCACACTATTGGGCCTCCCTGGTGGCACAAGGGGTTAAAACACAACCTATGAAGCTATCTGCAGCCACTGCAGCACAAGTTCTATCCACTGCCAGGGAGCTACCCACATGGCGCAGCAGACCTTTCCTGACCCACCCACTGCTCCCCTCAGCAATGTATTTCAGTGTATCTGCCTGTTTTGTTCCCCACTCTGTCTCTGGTGAATTCTCTCACTCCATATACCTCTGGCCTGTACCACAGTTCTTGTATGCATTAATAAATATATATTTTTTTTAAAAAGAATCAGATTATATGGGATTGATACTTACAGCAAACTGCACACTTCAAAAGGTGAATACACATTTTCCTTCACACATATGAATCACTCCCAAGGGTAGAACACATATTGATAACAGAACTGACATAAATTAATTCATAAGGATTAAAAGAATATATCAAGTATCTCTCTGATAATGTATATCAAACTAGAAATCAAGGATGAAAATAGTGCAAAAGAGAGTGAAAAACTGCAGCCATATGAAGAAGAATGAAATTAGACACCTCAATGGTTAAAGGATCCAAGCATATTTAGATATAACATATACAGGTACATTCAGACCTTCCAAGAAAATGGACAGTTCTAGTTTTAAATAAGATACAAGGCCCCCTATCTTCAACTTCAAGCTAATTGTGTTGTGTTTTGGGAATCACATATAAGACCACCAAACCTAGATTACCTCATGTGAAAAAATCAAGCTTATTTGCAAGATTATATTGAGATATGAGAATTAAGCACACTGCCCAAAATTTAAATAAAAATGGATGAGACTTGTATTTAAGTCCTGAAAATATAAAATGTATAACAGAAAACTTAGACAAAACACGTTATGGCACAGGCTTCAGTGATATCTTTGTGTATTAATCGCTAACAGTAAGAGAAACAAAAGAGAATGTAAACATGAGTGGGATTACATCTAACGAAAAACCTTCTGCACAGCAAAAGAAACTACCATTAATAAAAAAAAAATAATTACCCTACTGAATGGGAGAAAATATTTTCACCCCATATATATGACAAAGAACTCATATCACAGATCTTAAAATAATGCATTTAACTCAACAAAAAGAAAACAAAGAAGAAAGAGCTGAAAGTACACTTGTCCAAAGAAGACATATGGCGGGGATCATCAAACATATGAGGGAATTCCTATATCACTTATCACTAGGAAAAGTCAAATCAATCGATTGCTGTGAGAACAGACCCTATCAAAAAGACCAGAAAAAAACAGCTGCTGTCGAGGATGTGAGGAATGAATCCTTGTAAATTGTTGTTGGGGATGTAGACTGGTTCATTCCCTGTGAAAACTGTATAGCTGATTCTCAAAATATTAAAAATAGATTTATCATATAATCTAGCATTTACAGTTCTAAGTATCTACTCAAATAATTAAAAATTATAATAATTTGAAGAGATATGTGCATTCCTATGTTCATTGCAACACTATACAATAAATTATAAATACAACAATGGAGCCCAATGAAAGATGAGCAGATTAAGAAGGTGTGGCATAAATCCATATCCTTATTCATATCCATATAAATGTCTATATCTATATCTATAACATCTATAACTATCTATTCACAATGGAAACTAGTCAGCTTTATGAAAGGTAAGATAAATTCTTGCTTTGCCACATCATGGATGGACCTGAAATTGATAAAAGCTAAAGGAAATAATTTAAGAAGGAGAAAAGATAAATACCAGATGTTGCCAAGTATATGTGGATTATAGAGAAAGCCAAACTAATGAAACCCCTAGACTGGAATATAAAACAAGGCAGCAAAAGGGAGCAGATTAGACTTGAGAACAAAAAGTGGAGGGAACCCCATTGACTATTATGGAGGACTATGGTATTTTGGTGGTAATTGTGGTATTGTAACACACATCTAAACAGGTATAGACCTATATATGATGTTGGAAACCATTACCATTTCAATAAAATAGTATAATGATGAAAAGATATATGATTAAACTAATGTTAATTTATATGATTATAATGATAATAGTAATATATGTACAAATATATGCCATATATCCTACTGCATATAATAATATATAATTCCTTTAGTTTGAGTATAACATTGTTTTTCATTAATTGAATATATTTAGAGAAATTTTGCCTTTTTTTTTAAAGATTTATTTATTTATACAAACACTGGGTACAGTCAGAAGCACAGGAGGGTGAGAGAATTTACCAGAGCCAGAGTGGGGGACAGAACAGGCAGACTGATGAAGTACACTGCTGAGGGGAGCAGCAGGCAAGGCAGGAGAGGTCTGTGCGCCATGTGGGACACTCGCTGGGGGCCAGGGATCAAACAGGCACTGCAGAGGCTGCCGGCAGTTTCACAGCCCAGCACTCAACCGCTGTGCCACCAGGGGTGGCCCTAGAGCAATTTCCCTTTTTGACTATGGCTACTAGAAACTTTTAAATTACATATGTGACTCACATTGCATTTCTGTTAGTGATGTTCTAAGATGTTCTAATTAACACAGAAAGGGGGAAATAAATGAATGAGAACAACTATGATTATTCCTTCTTGGAGAATAATATTGGAAATGCTCTTGTCATGGCCCCAAGGACTTCCTTATTTCTCAGACTGTAGATAATGGGATTGAGCATGGGGGTCAGAATGGCATAGACAACTGCCAGCTTCTTATCTTCTGCTGGGGAGCGGAGATTCTTAGGCCTGAGATAAGTATAGACAAAAGGTGTATAGTAAAATGTCACCACAGTTAAATGTGTTGAACAGGTGGCAAAGGCCTTCTTTCTTCCCTCTTTGGAGCGCATATGGTAGATAGCAAAAAGCACCCGACCATAGGAAGCTGTGATTACAAGGAAAGGAATGAGGAGAAACAGACATGTACTCACAAAAACCAGGTACTCATAGACCCAGGTGTCCATGCAAGCCAGAGTCATCATGGCTGGGATATCACAAAAGAAGTGATCAATGGCCCTGGACTGGCAGTAAGGGATATGCAGGGTATAGACAGTGTGTGCAAAGGAATTGATGGACCCCAAGATCCAAGATCCTATAATCATCTTCACACACATCCTTTTACTCATGCGGAGGGGATAATGAAGGGGGTGGCAGATGGCCACATACCGGTCATAGGCCATGGAGCAAAGGAGTAAACCTTCAGAACATGCCATAGTTGCAAAGAAGAAGCACTGGAATCCACATCCCAGGAACGAGATGCCTTTCTGACCTGAGAAGAAGTTGAACATCATTTTGGGGACGGTGCTGGAAAGAGAGATCAGATCCATGAGGGAGAGCTGGCTGAGGAGAATGTACATTGGAGTGTGGAGCCGGGGATCCACGCGTATGAGGTGAATCATGGTTGAGTTTCCCATTGAGCCAAGAAAGAATATGAAGATGATAAGGAGTAAGAGAAACAAGCCAGTTCGATTTGTGGGAAACAAACCCAGCAAAATGAAATCATTGGAAGTGTGATTCCATGTCTCCATGAAAACTTACTGCTTGTTTACCTTCCTTTAAAGAAAAAAAAAAAAAAGTCCAGAACATGTAATGAACAAAGCTATTGTATAAAAAGGAGTTCTGAATTTATTAATGTAAGTTATAATGAATTGCTTTTCATTGCATATGACGACTTTCAGTGTGTCTTATTCAATAGCTAATTGCTGTTTTTCAAGTTTTTTACAGTAGCAGCTTTGAAATTGAATTCTTTAAAAAATATTTATTTATCTATCTATTTATCTATTTATCTATTTATTCAAGCACTGGGTACAGTCAGAAGCGCAGGAGGGTGAGAGAATTCACCAGAGCCAGAACGGGAGCAGAACAGGCAGACTGATGAAATACACTGCTAAGGGGAGCAGTGGGCGCAGCAGGAGATGACTGCACGCCATGTGGGATCTTCGCAGGCCGGGCTGGTATCGAACTGGCGCTGCAAAGGCTGTGGGCAGCTTCTCAGCCCAGCGCGCAACCGCTGCGCCACCGGGGAGGCCCTGAAATTGAATTTTTAGTAGAAAACCTAGTATCATAGCCAGCACAGTTAACAAGATCACTGAAGCATTTCTCCTTTAGATAACTCATTCTCAGGAACAAAGCTCTTGATTTGTCAAGTCAAAGAAATGGTTGGGGCCTCCCTGGTGGCATAGAGGTTGAGTGCTGGGTTGTGAAGCTGCCTGCAGCCTCTGCAGCGCCGATTAGCTCCCAGGCTGCTCCCTGGCTGCTCCCTGGCTGCTCCCTGGCCAATGGTGCGCAGACCCCTCCTGCCCCAGCATCAGTCTGCCTGCTCTACTCTCCGCTCTGACTCTGGTGAATTCTCTCACCCTCCCTCACTTCTGACTGTACCCAATGCTTGTATAAAATAAATAAATAAATAAATTTTTAAAAAAAAAAAAAAAAACAAAAACAAAGAAATGGTTGACTACTCCTTGGAGATGAATTTAACTCAGCATATGAAAGAACAACTGGCACATATAACTCTAAATCTTTTTGTATAATTCTAAGTCCTGTATTAATTATCCCTTCCCTTTTTAAGTGACTCTATTTCAGTTCAGATGGTTCTCAACTGGCTTTAAATCTGATATTTTTTTTCCCATGCCTGTCATAGTTGTCATTACTTTTTGCATTTCCAAAAAAGGTGTCCACACCACAAAATCACTGTTTTCATTCGGAGCCTCCCTAATTATAAAATATGCTGTGAAGATGTTATATTCCATTATGATGTTTCCATTTACTGATGACCTACAGAGACCAGAATCACAATGAACAGGTGATCAGTGACTTGTTCTTTTCTCTTGTAGTTGAATTGCACATGACAAATGTCACTGATTATGAATTCTGTACACATTTGATGTTGATGTTTTTCGTGAGAATTAAGTTCAATAAATGATTATGTCTTGTCATGACTCATGGCCGTGATGGCAAGGTGTCTATCATTCACTATTCTGACCTATGCTGACCTTTGCCATAGTTCTGATATAAGAGCATCACACATTGGCTGCATATATTGTATTTGTTCCATCTGTTTCCCTCACCTCTCACTTGGGTTTTTCCTTTTATGCTGGTGATTTCATGGTTTTAAAACAGAAAATATTTAGATCAGTGCTAATCAGGTCATTATTTCACCCATTCAAAGGCAAGGTAATGATGAAATGTTATTCTTCCACTGCATCACACAGTGACTATCATACTATTGTATTAACATTTTATTTGTCTGAAGAAATGAACAAGGTTTTGCTTTATAGCAAATTCAATATAATAATTTATTTGATGAAATGTAACCGATTCAGCTAAAGATTCATTTTTTAGTATATTTGGCCTTGCTATGTATGTTCCTCATTTTTTGGTTTAATATAGGTTTAAAATAAGGGGGAGAACATAAATAACACTATTGGGAATGGATTTTCCAGTAGCAAGCACTGAACAAAGAGTACCAACTCCCAGTTTATGTATGCCACAATTACAAGAGACATATTTGTATGCTCTTCTGTATTCATTTCTGTATAAATTAATGTTCAGAGTATCATAAATATTGATGATATTTACAGCAATAATTTTTATTGCCAAATTGAAAAACGGCTTATAGCTAGGGGTAGGGTAGGATCCTTGTAAAATCTCTAAAAACCCAGTTTTCAGAGCATGGGCCAAGGATCTCAAGATTTATTTCCATTTCTGGTCTTTGTATTTCTTTGTTAAGTATGATAACTTATTCTTTCTCACATTAAATAGAATTTTTTTTTTTTTTACTGTGACCACATGTTGTATCCATATTTTTGTCTCCTTTGAGCATATTAAGAAGCATATTGTTGACATTTGTATCATTAAAAACAACTCCTAGCACCTATATTTATATAGGATTTTATGGACATTAACAAGCTCACTGTCCTAAATTTATTTTGCTAAATTTACAATATAAAGTGCACTTTAAATAGTCTTACAGATAATCAGCCCAAGGCCAGTAAGAAATTGTTTCTCTGAACTCCAGCCACCTATCTGGGATGGCTGCGAAGAGGGAATTAAGAATTTTGTGCTCAGCACATAACAGGTTGTCAGTAGGCATTAAAATCCTTTGTTCATTTTACCTAAACCATTGGAAGACCTCAGCTCCAGAGAAATTAAGTGTCTTAATTAAGGTCACACACAAATCAAGGTCTGCACTTGAAACACTTGTAACAGGTTCATATAATCCTTCTCTCTCTTTTTTGGCCTTTTATATTCACTTTTGGCCTTTCCAACTAGATCTACAAGTGCCTATTCTTTGAGTAGCAGAACATAGTCTCCTAAGATTTGGAAACATCATCTCCAAGGTCTCTACATGAGTTAGAGCTAACACAAATCAACTTGATGCACTAGTATTATTATGACTTACCTTGTCCACTGTTCTTCAGTTCATATGTTTGAAAACAAAGTAGGTTTACAATGACATAATTTGTGCCTAAAATCTTTAGGTAAAAAATGTGGCTGACATTGTCTTGCCAGAGTTGCTGCAAGAACTTGTCACAGAACCATTGATTCTGTCAAAGCAGAACTCTCTTTCTGATATGAGAAACTCTTTTTTATCTTCTAAAATTTATGAGAGGGAAATATCAAATAATTTTGTATAACATCCATTCCTCACTGCTCTTTCTGCTCATAAAACATAAAATTTAAGACCATATTTAATGTCTAGGCATTAGGATTTTTTGAATTTCTAGTGTATAACTTATCTACTTGCCTATGTATTTTTTTTTTGCTGAAACAACTCTCTTACTGCTTTTTCCAGATTTAAATATTTTAAATCTCATTCTCTCAATTTGCTACTGGAAGACAAAAAGATGAGTTACTACATTTAATTTATATAAACATAAGCTATCAAGCCTTACAATGTCCTCTTTCTCCTGTAATTGATCCCTAATGTCCAAATCCATGGGGACCAAGACTTGGTCATTACAGTTGACTCTGCTTATGTAGAGATCATGTAGATGTTCACTTAATTATAGAAAAGCAATCAAACCAGTCGATGCTATTGATTCCTGATGAAGGATTGTACTGTATTATTTCAATACATTCTGTGTAGACAGTCAGGTAATGCTTATTGAACTCTTCTCATTTCGTAAGTTAGAAATTAAAGTAAGTGTCAGAGCTACTTCTAGACCTCAGCTACATAATAGAAGAATTATTATCATGGACAATATTCTGCTTATTGTCTAATAAATTTGAAAATGTTGCTGATTGTAGTAAATTTTGTTATATAAAACTCTTCTCTTGGGACTCCCTGGTGGCACAGCGGTTGAGCGCTGGGTTGCGAAGCTGCCCGCGGCCTCTGCGGCGCCGGTTCGATCCCCGGCTGCTCCCGGCCACTGGAGGAGGGTCCCACATGGCGCGCAGACCTCTCCTGCTGCCCGCTGCTCCCCTCAGCAGTGTGCTTTGGTCCTTCTGCCTGCTCTGCTCCCCGCTCTGGCTCTGGTGAATTCTCTCACCCTCCCGCGCTTCTGACTGTACCCAGTGCATGTATAAACAAAACAAACAAACAAATAACTAAATAAATAAAAACATGCCTCTATTAAAAAAAAAAAAACACAAAACTCTTCTCTTTTTAGCATATGATACAATGGATCTATGAAGAATTTAATCTACTCAACTGTTACATCGATGTGTAGATTTGTCTCCTCATACAGGGCAATAAAGCAAACATTTGTATTCAGAAGAACAGTCTAGCCACCAGACAACACTGATTTAGAAGACAATACTGATTTAATTAGGAAGTTACAGAGGATCTAAGCTAAGATTATAGCAAATCTACAACTCTCTAAATTTGCCTAAAGACTGTTCTAAATGTTAAGAGTGCATGTTATAAAATAATTTTTATATTGCACCTGCTACAGAGGGAGGGCTCAATAGATGAAGGACTTAGGGCCTCTCTGGTGGTGCAAGGGGTTAAGCACCATCTATGAAGCCATTTGCAACCTCTACAGCACCAGTTCAATCCCCGGCCAAGCAGGGAGCAACCCACATGGCGAGGCAGACCTCTCCTGTCTCTCCTGCTTCTCCCTCAGCAGTGTATTTTGGTCTTTCTGCCTGTTCTGTTCCACAATCTGTCTCTGGTGAATCCTCTCACCCCCGACATCTCTGGCCTGTACTCCAGCTCTTGTATGCATAAATAATTAAATCTTTAAAAAAATAGATTTAGGACTTATTTTATACCATTAATCCTCAAATTAGTGATTTAGTGTAATACAAATTTAAAGTAACTCTGTTTGAAATTATTTCTTTTTTAATATAATTAATTTATTTATTTATACAAGATTTATTTATTTATACAAGAACCAGGGTACAGGCCACATGCACGGGAGGGTGAGAGGATTTACCAGAGACAGAGCAAGGAACAGAACAGGCAGACTGATGAAATACACTGGTGAGGGGAGCAGTGGGCATGGCAGGAGAGGTCTGCCGTGCCATGTGGCATTCTCGCTGGCTAGCAGGGATTGAACCCATGCTGCAGAGGCTACAGACAGTT